GACCCACGGGTCTATTGTAGGTTTCAAAATTGGTGGAATGTAACAGACCCGGATCTTGTATACGGCGATTTACGGTACTATTTGGTAATCCTTATTTTCAAATATTATAATATAAAATTTTTTTTTTAAATATTTTAATATTTAAAAAAATTAGATCAGACATAACTGATTTAAATTTTAGCGTCCAAATTTGGATGCTAAACCTGACGGTTAAGGAATAGCTTTTTTATTTTGACATTGGACCATTGAGTTTCTATTGGCTAATAATCATATAATAAAAATCTATTGGCTCACGGTTCTAGGTTCGGCTTCAAGGCCTTGAGCTATTTTTAGAGTCAATACTTTATTAGCCGAGCCGTCAAACAGCTTGGCTTAGCCGTATGGCTCACAGCTCGGCTCAAGCTGCATCAATACATGGGACTGATACACAAAATGTAAAAAAAATAACAAAAATAATTGGTTAAAAATTTTAGCCAATCATAACACAGCGAAAAAAATACCAGTTAGACCATACAAATTTAATAAACTGGTTCTCAAATTTTTGATTATATTTACTATCCGGGTAGGTTTTTTAGATGTTTATAAAAAATGTTTTTTATATATTAAAAGCCGAGTTGTCGGGTCGTTTTTACGTTGAGAACCAGTATGACCTATTCGATATAGTTAATTTTTTGTCGTAAGTACGTACGTACAGTACGCACGTATTGCTTTCTGATCAAACTGAAAAGTTGTTCCTATGTATTCAAAAAAATGATCGAGAGGAATAAACTGTATCCTGTGTGGTTGGATTGAATAACATCCCGCTTTAGATCCTGTCGTTGATCAGATTTTTTTAATATAATTAGACTCTTGGCTAGTAAGAACCAATATTAATATCTCGCACTATGAATGACTAATCTTATTTACAATAACAATAAGACAACGACCCTTAATGCAATCTTACAAAGAAATATTCTACGGTTAAGAAATTTCTCTGTAATAACAGTTATAAAAAATGTAATAACAGTTATAAAAAAGACTATTAATTCAAATCACCATGATTGCCTAATTTATTAATATTAAAATCTTCGCACCAAACATTGGAACTACGGTTTTAGCCCTACTTTTATCTAATAAATTTACCATACTAAACCACGATCTGGAGTAAATTGTAAAAAAAAAATATTGCACGTCATAGCGTATTTACAATCAACTATACACTTAACAGGCTTAATAGTTCCAATATATATAGTTAAATAAAGAAATTACATTACTTAAAATGGGCGAGTATTAATTCTTTAGAGAATTATTCCAATTCAAAATCACGAAAGTAATGAACGACAGTAAATAATAAATTATTGTAAAAATAATGAAAAATGGTTGTTTATTACATGAAGACATCATCACCTCTTGATACGAAATGCATAATAGGTAAAGATGCCATAAAAGCCTATACAAAACTTTGCAATATATAATTAGAATAATAATAAGTATGCGACAATGAACAAATTCATGTGCTAAAATGCAAAAGAAAAAAGATCAAAAAAAAAGAAAAAAAAAAAGAGAGAAAGAAGTGTGAGCCATTCATAATGAAGTCCGTTGGTATGTCTATGAGTTATTAGCATGACAAATAAGTGTTCATGAAAGGAGTAAATGGAACTGGAGCCTCTTCGTGCTGCTTCTTATTTACCGCACTGAAATGTCATTGTAGAAACTTTCAAAACTAGTGTTATTACCGTTGTTAGTATTACTCGAACTACCATTGGGCATGTTAACGATATTCCCACTACTAGGGTCGATAATCGGTATTGATTTTGTCACTTTAGTTGGAGTCGTCAGGGATTGATATGTCATTGTTGGTGAATAATTACCGCCATAAGAAAATGGGGATTCAGGACGTGAGAAAAAAGATGGCATCGAAACTTGTGACGTCGCAGAAGCGGATGAGTTTGATGATTTTAAAGGAATTATATTAAGAGGAGTTTTGTTCGTTGGGTCAATAATTGGTATGGGTCGCTTATGTTGTGGTGGCGTCGTATTTGGTTTCGATTGGCCATTTGAGACAAATTGAGAAACTTGACGACGAATTTCGGCAAGCTAAATACAGGAAAAAGCCAATACATGAACGTGTAACATATTATGAGGAAAGTATATGGAACCTTGACTTTCTTGTCTAAAGAAGATTATAGATATTTATATACCTCTTCTGCTGACAACGAAGGACAAAATTCAAGGTCATCGTCAAATCCTTTGGCAGCTTCTTGACGATTCCTATAATTTTCTAGACGTGCGGCTAGATAAATCAACTTTATCTTAGTATAAATTTCCAAACAAGCAAAGAACTTTATTTAATGTATATAGTTTAACCTTGCGCAGGGTCAAGGTCTTCGAGTTGCGCCATATCTATAATATATATATTTTTATGTTAAATATATTAATATGCTCGTTGCAATACATTAACGAAATTTCTTTTACAATAACAGCCTTGACCGCTCCTTTACCTGTAGAAGCAGAATTTTTTTTTTTATTTTTTTTTTTTTATTTTTTTATTTTTTTTTTGTATTTTTTTTTTAAATAGTATATTTGGTGGCAAAGGAGTGAAAGAAAAGGCTATATTAGAAAAAAAGGTTGAACTGAAAAAATGTCCCCAATTTTCTTCTTGATGATTATGATGGTGCCTGAATTTTCCAGATTGGTCGCGGTCCTTATTTTGTAGTGATTTGACAATGCAGATCATAACCAATTTTTTCGTTGACATCACAGCTTTACCGTATCAGGTATCTAATTTTGGCGATTTTGCAATAACTTCTAAGCCACAAACTTTCGAAAATGCAAAATAATGCAAAGCTTTTAATATAAGCTCTAATTTATAAAAATTTATATAAATTGGTAAAAATAAAATAAAATAAAACAAATTTATAATATTAAATAGATTTGTTAACTTTTTTTATATATAAAAGGTATTAATAAAAACCAAGCAAATTGTTTTTAATAAGTTTTTTTAAAAATATACTATATAGTATATACAATATATAATATAAAAATTATTAATAAAATAATAAAAAAAAATAAACCAAAAATAAATTTACCAAATATTAGTTTGTTAGTAATTAAAGATTAAAGCAAAGTATAATATCTAATATTACAAAAAAATTTTTTTATTAAAAACTAAAAAATAAGTTTATAAACAAAATTTTAAATAAACAAAAATTTAATATAAACTATTTATTATTATCTAACCAAGATATAACTTATTATTTATATACAAATTTTGCAATATTTATATAGTAAATTTTGTATTGTCTTAAAACTTACTAACTATTTTTAACTAGTCTATCTACTGTATAAAATAATTTAATAAAGTAGTTCATATCTTATGTATAGAGTCTAAAATAGGCTAGTTGGGCTATATATCACAAACCCAAACTTAATTTGTTGAATTTCAGACCTGGTCTAAACCTAGCTTGTTAGATTATAAACCCAATTAGGCCTAGTCTGTTAAACTATAAGCTCAACTTAAACTTGGTTTATTAAATTATAAACCCAACTTGGGCTTATTTACAGTATGTTTAATAAGCCAAGCTAGACTTGTAGTTTAACAAGTTAGACTAAATAAATTTTTTTTTTTAAAAAAAAATAATCTTGTTGCTACTTTTATTATTATTATTATATAATTGTAGAATATATATATTATTACATTGTTTATTTCTAACTATAGCTATTACAGGCGTAGTGGCTTAGTGAAGTGGTCTAGTCGTCATCCTCTCCAAGCAGCAGGTCTAGAGTTCAAATCCCATAGATAATGATTTTGAAAAATAGATTTGTGTTTTGGTAACCTGTATAAGATGATTGGATTAGGGTATCTGTAACTTAAGTCACACCAGGGCATAGTATTCCTAGAAGATCCGCTGGTGTTCGTACAACTAAGGAAACTCGGTGACCACGAAAAAATGCAAACTGGCTTAGGGCAGTGCAAACTCTCGATAAGTCCAAGATTGTGTAAATCTTAGGAATCTCTTTTGCATACAGAAACCTGTTTGGGAAGTCCTGAATTAAGATTAGTGGCTAACTTTCGACAGTACTACAGAGTAAAGACTATACTGAGAACTCAACCGGAGGCCCGGCGATCATAACTCTTATAGGCGGAGTTACACCAACCTGGCCATTGGAGGATGAGGGGACTCCACAGGCTAACTGGATTGAAAGAAGGGATGTCACCAGAGCCAAACTCATGCGTCAGGAAATGTCGGTACTGGGATTGGTTATGAACTTAATAAGGGCAGAAGTAAAGTAATGAAGGACTAATTAGGAAGGTTGTACTTGAGATATGGATTGTGTTATGACAGCATCCCAAAAGATGGCTTGAGATACGAACACAATGACAGCAGACAATATGTACTAATTGGAAAGTAATTACCGAATGAGCATGCACTATCATGTGTGAAACATGTAATACGATGTTAGATTTACCTTGAGGATGATCAAGATAGTCCTAAGGCAGGTTGTAATATATATAGTTAAAATCATTGTAAATACTACTAACCCCAATTTAACTATAATAAAATTTACCGACCAAAGAGATCACCTTAAAAAGAAAAAAAAAAAAAAACTATAGCTATTACTGCTCTATTAACAAAGTATAATATTATATAGTTATTATATAGCATCTATATGCAACCAATCTTTGTAAAGTTTTGCTTTCTTGAGTTTTCATAACTTACCTTAGACTACAAATTTTCAATTTACTTATTATTATTTATATTTATTCTTTTTTTTCCGGTATTAAAGTGACCTCTTTGGCCGGAGAATGTTTTATTAGATAGTTATGTTTTTTAATTACAGTAAGGGTATATATAGCCACACATGCACCTTTTGAGTGCCTAATTTAAGTAGTCTGCCCGAAGGTTCTACACTATCTGCTGTACCTGTACCCCAACTAGGGGGGTACCTATTTAAACCCTCTGACCATAACCTACTTCCAAACCAATGGATACTATCTAACCTGAGGCGTAGCTTACTATACACAGGTAGTTCACTATTGCCTAATCTGATTTTGCACTTACCTTAGGACTTACTAACCCCAATGAGGCTAATCTATCCACGAGGTAAACCTAACAGAGTGGTTCATGTTCCACACGTGTATTTACCTGCATGTTTGGTAATTTCTTCCCAATTAGTACATATTGTCTGCCGCCATTGTGTTCGTATCTCATGTCACCTTTTTGGAGTGCTGCTATAACACAATCTGTATCTCAAGCACAACCTTCCTAATTAGTCTTCTATTACGTACCCCTGCCCTTGTATTGGTTCACAACAACCCCAGTACCCACATTCAAGCTGTCTCTTTACCCGGATTCTTTATCGGTCCATCTCTAACTTCCAGCCGGCAACCCGGAAGAGTTGGTCTGCCCAGGCTTTAGGTGCCTGAAGGACGCCCTCTCCTTGGTCTATACTTTCGGAGCATATGGCCTTTTCCTCTGGTGCGTCTAAACCGGCGGTTCGGCTGGTGTGTCCCCCACTAAAGGACCTGGTCATTCAGTTCTCCAATCTCGGGCCCCGGTTCAAATTCATTTATATATATTCTGTATAAATACTATTGTGCAAATTCTACTAATTAAATTTTATCTTTTCTCATATATAGCATTACTTTTAAACTGCTTTTTGTATTACTTCCAAAGGCGCTACTTTACGGAACTCAGCCTGGGAACTTTAATTACAGTAGCAGGTGGCTTGAGATATAGGTCCTCGGATAGCGGCAGCACCTGGCTAGAGATATAAATTGGAATAGGCAACAGAGCTATCAAAAGTCGATAAGAGGGTCAGAAAGTAAATTTTAACATTAAGACAAAGCTTTACAACAGAAATATACAAATGTTGCATTTGTTATATAATTTTTACCAACCATGCACGGGTTATAATAGTGCCTTTAGGGTTTTAGATTTCTTTTTAAGTTTTTTCTTTTTCAAAATCTGTGTTTTTTTTTTTTTTTTTTTCTTCGGCAAGTCTTGCCAAGACCCTATAACCCTTCCAGTTATATACCCAACCTGAAGGCTATTTACTGCATATATTTTTCTTGCACAGGGTTCGGTCTGGACCTCTGATACCACTTTGAATACCCGGATTCGACTACCTGCACCAACGTCTGGAGATGTCAGATCACCTTTCTATTGTACTGGGATTTCACCAGCCAATCTGGTATCGCTATGAGTTCTTGTAGTATCTTTATCAGACTTTGGCCTCACATTATGTCTCATGACTTCGGTTATTTCAAATCAGGGTTCTAACACATCTCGTTTCACAGCCACAACTTCTCAGAATAACTATTCCCCAAATACGTCTATCCGTAGATATCTCAGGATTCTTGTACCCCGCGGTTCGGTGTTTCATTTCTGTTTTCAAATTTTTATTAATCCGCCGTTGGGAAAAATTGAATTAGCAACCGTCCGATTTGCAACCTGGGAGCATAACCGCTATGCTAACGACCCACAAGTCCATGTTTTTTTTTTCTTTTTTCTTGTTTGTTTTTCTTTTTTAGTCATTTTTGTAGTATTTTAGTTTGAACTTTTCCCTCTTTTGTCTCGTCCCCTTGAGAAGAAGAAAGAATTAGAAGAGAAAAAAGGTCCTGAGGTGGGAGCTAAGACCAGGCTATACTATATTTTTAAATACGGCCACCATGTATAGAGTATAGTGGCCAATATCAGTGCAATAACCAAGGTTGGGCATCTGTAGTGAACAGCAGGCCTTTGTCTAATTACCTTGTTGAATTGTCTAAGCATGTATTTGTGATAAAGCATTAAAAATTTAATAAACCTTTTAGTACGCAGTTATTAAAGAAAAAAAAAAAAATTACTTCCAAATTGGTGTTCTAGAGGTGAGCACTCTTGTTGCTTCTAGTTTGATGTTCTTAGATGTTTTACTTGCTTTTCTAATCTGTATTTCAAGCCATGTACTGCTATTGTTCAAAGACTCATATCTTAAACCACATACTACTGCTATTAGAGATTTCATTTTCATACTTTTAGATATTTATGTTATATACCACTATATTAGGATTCTTAGAATGAGATTTAAGAATCTCATTTAATTATTATCACAATTTAGTTATTTAGAATCTTGTACTTCTGTTATGTTTCTTCTCATAACTTCTATATTAGTTGTATAACTATTAGGGATGTTATAGTCTGGCTAAGACCACAATTTGACCTGGTCTTCTTAACTAGTCTAGGTAATTATATAATCTGAAAATGTAAGATAATATGCAGGAAACAATTATATATAACACCTTAAAATAAGGTGCAAAACATTTACATTACACTTGCATATAAAGATTACCCCATCACAATACTTAAATTAATATGAATAAAATATATTATTAATAAGATAATATTTAAGAGCAATAACTTAAATCGAACAATTTTTAATTATTCAAATTAGTTTTCATGTATAACTATAATGCTAAATTGAGCGATTAAAAAAGTCTGAAATTTCTAAATCAAATCAGCAAGTTTTAAAAAAGTCTGAAATTTCCAATTCAAATCAGCAAGTTTTTTAACAATTTTAAAAAAGTTTGAAATTTCTAATTCAAATTAGCAGGTTTTCTAACAATTTTAAAATTTTTAATTCAAATCAGCAGGTTCTAATAATTTTAAAAAAGTCTAAAATTTCTAATTTAAATCGGCAGGTTTCTACTAATTTTAAAAAAAATCTGAAATTTCCAATTCAAATTGGCAGGTTTCTCAATTTTAAACAAAACACTTT